TTGGCAGCTAGGTAGGCAGCAGGCACAGAGACAGGTTGGACTGCATGTAGCCTCTTCAAGGAGGAAGAGGTGCAGCTCAGACCAGAGCCCTGAAGCCTTGAGGACTCTGGGTTTCCTGCCAGGGCCTTGGGCAGCCCTTCCTGCTCGTATAAGGAGCACCTTGAGGGCCAGGACTGGGTTGGAGACAGATTGCCCCCTGGGGTCCCCCTGTAGAGGTTACTTCTGTGCAGTGCCTCCTGGTAGTTCCCTACCACCCCAGCACACACACACACTGCTATCCCCTTGTCACTATTCTAACCCGGCATCCTGCTGTTGCCTCCGGTTGCCTCAGGAACCACCAGCTGCTTCTGGCCAGGGACTCTGCACTTGATGCTGCCTCTGCCTGTCACTGTCTTCCTGTTTGTCACCTGACTAGTCTGATCCCATGATTTAAATTCCCCTCTCCAGCAGTGCCCTCTGGCCTGGCCCTCACAGGGCTCTGTACGTCATCCTGTAGCTTCAGCCTGAAACCATGGCTTTCATTTCCCTGTTGACTTTGCTGTGTGCTCCTGAGGGCAGGGTCCACCTGCCTCCCTTGTCCTAGGATTAGCAGCACATTGCCACATCCTAGGCTCCTGGTCAAGACTGCTTCAGCAGTGACCCTGCTCCCAGCCCCTTCTGTACCACACCCCCATGGGTCAGATAGAGAGGGAGGGGGCAAGGGGCTTGCCTTATCTAGAAACTTCTTGGCATGGAGCGTTGGTGCCTGAACTCTGTAAACCAAAGCCAGTTCTCTGCAGAGGGGGCAAGTGGCTCAGAAGGGGGGCACCTTGGGGTCCAGAATCCCCAGGCTTGTGGGGTGGGAGGGGTAAGAGAAGTCTGGAGGAGAGAAGGGAGAAGAGGACAGCATAGCGGACTCTAATCTCAGAACTTGCTGCTGAGCCCAGAAGCAGGAAGGGGGGAAGTGCAGGGGACACAGGAGGAGGAGGAAGAGGGGTGGAGCCTGGCTCCGGGTGGCAAGGAGGGTGCAAGCTCTGCTGAGAGCCACAGGCAGGAGCAGAGTGGAGGCCCTGTCTCCCACAGGTCGGGTGGTGCAGATTCTGGACTCTGAGCATCCCTGGAGGGTCCTGCCTGGTCTTGGGTGAGGGGAGACACGCCTATACACACACACCCTGAAACTGCCTTTGGGGAAGTACTTGCAGCTTCCCCTTCCTGGAGCCTACAGGCTGGGGGTGTTGGGGTGTCAGCCACCCAATGGAACTCCCTCACCTGCTCAGGGCTGCTGCTGCTTGATTGGGCTGCCTGGAGCTGTGGCTTGCGCAGAGCACTGAGGCTAAACGGGCTGTTGGGCCTCATCAGCAGCAGCCACTTCTGCTTGCTAGCCGAAGTGCCACCTTCTTTCCTGCTGGAAGCACCTTTGGGTTTAGCCCCAAGGGGCTGCAGGGCCTCCACCTCAGATGTTCTGGCAGCTCTGGCCGGCTGGGCGGTCACCCTCTGGCCCTGGAATGACCTCTCCTGAGAGGACGGCGTGGCTTCCTGAGTGTGAAGGCACAGTGCGTGCCTCCACACACACACACAAGGCCACAGTTAAGGCTGTTAGAGGGTTGGGAAGCGAGTTGTTTATGCCCTTCCTGGCTCCAGGACAAGGAGCCCCTGGCAGGGTGGATAGACCTGGGTAATCCATTGGTCTAAATTGATAAATATTTGCCTGCAGCCAAATAAGGGCATTGGGGGGTTGGGTGGAAGAGATTCCCCACCAGGGTAGTGGGATGTGCCTGGGGAGGGAAAGCCAGCCCGTGCGACAATGTGAGTCAGAGAGGCCCAGCGTGCAGCCAGGGAGTGAAGGATGCTGGGAGGAGGGATTGAGGAGTAGGAGCGTGGTCAACGAACTGGGGACCGCCAATGGAGGAGTCAAGTGAAAGTTTCTGTTAGATCTTGTGCCATACAACTCGTCCTGTTGAGGGCTCGCTCGCTTTCTCTCTCTGGTCCATATACATTCCAGTTTCACCTGCACTTGCTCCCTTATTCCTGGCTGCATGTTCCCTCCCTTAGAGTCATTTGACTCATAAGAAGATGGAAGTACAGTTTCTGGTATTTGTGAGAAGTGACAGGCAGTCAGGTCCTCACTGCCACCTTTCACCCACCAGCCTTCGCCCCCTTACTGAGTCTGCATCAGCATGAATGAGCTTTGTCCTGCAGACACTGGGGGACCACAACGTGCTTGGGAGCCAGGGAGTAACATGGTGAAGAGTTTGTGTTGATGCGCTCAGAAGCCATGGTCTGGACGATTATAGAGGAGCCATGGGAACCAGGGCGGAGTTTGGAGGGCGAGGATGGGGGGTGACAAGGACAGAGATAGATATGTGTTGGGGGAGGGGAAGTGAAGCCGAGAGTATGCCACGGTGCAGCCAGAGATGTGGCTCTGTGCCGGAGTCCAGCTCCAGCTGAGTTCGGAACTCGCGAAGGGTGCATGGATGAGGCGTAAAGAGGAAAGAAAGAGACGGACCACTAGGACTTCATGATCATAATGGACGATGCATGAAAGCTGTCCGCTTTATTTATACAAAATCAGTCTAATTCTGGCTCAGACTTTTTACATCATGACCAAGTGGGTGTTTCTAAGGATAATTCTGCCATTAGTTTTACCTAGAAACAATAGAAGTTCCTGCTAACATTACCTAGAATTTCCTACTACGATTCTTATCCTACAACTCAATCTTGTACCACAAAGAAAAGGGGAGTCTAAAGAATGAGGAAAGAATGAAGGCCTAAATCTAGATCCCTTGATCAGCATAGGCTCAATGGGCACAGCCAAGACAGTAGGAATGATACAGGGCCCCATTTGCAAGACACTGACCTCCAAGCTCAGGCTGAGCAAAAAGTTAACCTCGCAGTAGCAAATGCCAGGATGGATTAAAATCCTTCCGCAGGGTGGTCCAGTGTCCATGCAAAAGAAGGTGGAGCTGCATTCAGGTGGTTGTAGAGACATCTGCCAGGTGGGCCCTGCCGATCAGCGGGAAATTCCTTGCGGCCCTGCCTGCAATGGAACACTCTTCACCCCCTCATGTCCCCCACATCTACTGCACAGACCCCAACAGCTCTGGCTGGAACGTGCAGTGGCATCAAGGCCAGAGCGAGGGCTGACGGGAGACAGGTAGATCCTGTCATGGATAGTAGGCTGTACTTTCCCTGAGAGATCAGAATGGCGGTTGCCTTGGACCAGCAGTCAGGGGAGAGAAGTCAGCATGATGAGTGGGAAGAGAGGGTTCAGCCTTCCCCCGCCCCACCCCAACCCCTTGCTGCCGCCAAGAGGAGCACGCAGAGGGCTGGCCATAATCTGGAGGAGCCACGAGGAGTTGGGGAAGGTGCAGCCTACGGGGTGGGGGATGCCACTGGGATCTTGACTAAGGAGAGTGCAGGGCTGAGTGAAGTGGCTGAGTGGTGGGAAGGAAGCTGTTGAGAGATGCAGGACCTCGGGCTGGGCCTCCCAGTGGCCCCATCCTGCCCCGCCTCCACAGATTGGGGGTCTGTGGTCCACCCACCTCCCCAGAGCCTGGCCTCCAAGGGCCTGACAGGTTCTCCCTGTTGCCTGGCAACTGAGAGAGCTGTTGGCTGTTGCTAGGAGCAGGCGAGGGAGGCCCGGGCTGCCAGGCTAGCTCTCTTTCGAGGGGCGGGGCTGCCGTTTGTAGCCTGCACGGATAGACTCGGATAGACCGTGAGCTTGGCGTGCATTTTAATGGCATGCTCTGTGGACCAGAGGCACGGTGGGGGGCTGGGCCTGGGGGCCCATGTAGAGGGCCTACAGAGGAGTTTGCTACATGCCTCCCAGATTCTCCCGAGCTACAGGCGGGAGGAAGCTGCAGGGACACCCTGGGAGACTTACAGGCCATTCAGAAGGGGACATGCTCCCACGAGACCTGGAGACAGGAAAGGCTGCGAGCTGGGAGCCAGAAGGCCAGTGTGTGCCTGCTGGCAAGGCAGGGGCCAAACAGGAGGCTCCAGGCCTGGTTTCAGAAATCTGCTGTCTTTGGGCTCGGGTCTTCCAGGACAGGTTTCTGGGTGGCCCTCGGCAAGTGGCAGTCCTCCCATATCCACCCTGTCCCGCCCCAGCCTCCCGAGGTTTGGGCTGAGTGTTCCTCCAGACTTGCGAGGTTAAGACTGGGAACCCTGCTGCCTCCACCATCCCACCTCTGCCCACCCAGAGGTGCCAGGCTGTGAGCACAGTAGGTGACATCAGCCGTGAAAGTGGCAGCCAGGAAGGCGTCTAAGACCACAACCACTTGTGTTTCTGCAAGTCCAGTGTAATTTCTTTCTTTCTTTCTTTCTCTCTCTCCCCTTTTTTCCCTCATGGCCTGGTTGCCTGGTCCTGTGCTGGAGCCCAGGATAGCTACTTTCAGGGTAAACACCAATGTCTCAGATAGACTCAGGGCATGCGGTTTGGAAGTGGCAATCAACTTGTTTTTTGTTTTTGATTTGTTACAACCCAGAGAAAGAAAGGGAGTGGGAGGAACCCGCTTAAGATTGGAAAAAAAAAATCAAAAACCGCTGTTCAGAACGTTCTGCAGATCCCCAAACAAGTTTCTTGGGTACGCTAACCAACAAGCCAGGAAGACACACCTCCGCCCCTTCCCGCCCCACTCGCAAGTAGCCCCGGGGCCGGTTTGTGCTCCGTCGGGCCTCGGGGCACCGGATCCCCACCCTGGGGCTGCGACGTCCGCCCGCCCCGTCGCCCCGCCGCCGACTCCGGACGCTCGGCACCCAATGGGAGCCCGGCCCCGCCTGCGGCCCGCCCAGGGCCCCAGCTCTCCCTTCGACTCCACCGCCACTGCGGTCCCTCCGCTTGGCCCCGCCTCCGGCCGGCCGGGACCCGAAACTCCTCCCTCCGGCCAATCGGCAGCCGCGATTCCCTCGAGGCCCCGCCCCCAGGCCCAGCCCGGCCCAGTCCGGGGCTCCGCTGGCCGAGGCCCCACCCCGGGCCCGCCCCGCCGTCGGTGCGCGGCCGCGGGGAAGGCGCCTCCTGCAGACGCTCGGAACTGCCGCTCCGAGAGCTGCCAGCGGAGAGCCGGCGGCGGGAGCGGAGCGGGTCGGGCGGGGCCGAGCCGGGCCGTGGGCCTTGTGGGGAGGGGGGGTCGCGGCCGGGCCGGCGGACGGCGGGATGGGCTGCACCGTGAGCGCCGAGGACAAGGCGGCGGCCGAACGCTCCAAGATGATCGACAAGAACTTGCGGGAGGATGGCGAGAAGGCGGCGCGGGAGGTGAAGTTGCTGTTGTTGGGTGAGGCCGCGCCCCGCGCTGGGACCCACCCCCTGATTTCCCAGAGGAGGGTTTTATTCTGGACCCTCTCCCACCCCCCAACTTGGGCTTGAACCCTGAATGCCCAACCGGACCAGGACTGAAGAGTAAGGAGCGGGGTGGGGATTCTGGGTGGCTGTAGCCCTCTGAGTGCCCCCCTGCAACTCCATTTGGGTTGGAGGGTTGGGGGCGGGCTCAGCTCCTCTCAGGCCCCGCAGTCCCAAACCCAGGCCTCAGTGCCTTCCACTCTGGCTGCCCACACCCGCTCTTGGCCGACCATCCTTACTAAGCAACCTTACAGACGCTGTGCATCCATCCCAAGACCCCTGCACCTCACTGATTCTCAGCACACCTCTGGCTACACCTGCTCCCCACACCTGTTCCCGGGTTCCTTTTGGGTGGCCACCTCCCTAGGGCCCAGGCCAGTACTCCCTAGTCCTGTATCCTGCCTGTCTGCGCTTCCTCTGACGCTGTGCCGCTGTGCCGCTATGTCTTCCACTTGAGCTCCCAGATGTGAAACTGACTGTTCTGGTGTCCCCTCCGCAGCCATTAGAGAGACCCCTTTCTGCAGGCCCCCTCCCCTGTCTCAGGCTCCTCCCCAACCCTCCCCCTGCACCTGGTGGGCCTGGCTCCAACGAGGAGCCCCCTCCCCTCCCCTCCTGCCTTGGCATTTAGGCAAATCTCCCCCAGGGTGCTGCACTAGTCCCTCTGGGTGTGGGTGGGGGCCAAGTTCAACTTCCTGGGGGAGATTCTACTGCCTGGCCATCTGTTTTCTAGTTGCCAAGGCCTGTCTGGACTGCTGAGGGGGAAGTGTGTGGAGTAGGAGGGAGCGTGGAAGAGGTTAGGGTTGTGGCCGCTTCCAAGGCCTGGGAAGATGGTGGCGGCTGGAGGGGTGGGGGAAGTGGAAGTGGAGAGACAGCCGACATATTGCTGCCCTGCTGGGCAGGCCTAGGTTATAGTCTCCCAGGGTGGGTGGGCCTGTCCAATCTTGGGGACTTTGTAAGGGGGAATGGTGAATAGCTGAACCTGAGCTTGGGAATGGAGGACCAGCTGTGGTGGGCCAGGTTGACCCCGAACCCCTGAGCTGGTGTTCCACAAACATGTGGCCTCTACCCCCACCTTAGGAGCAGGAGTGGTGCCTGGCAGAGGCCTGATCTGGGGGGGAATCCGTGTGAGGGGGGTTCCCCCTTGCAGCAGGATGGATGCGGGCTGGACCGTAAGTGTGTGGGGGTGTGGCCCCTCAGCCGGAGCCAGCCGGGAGTCTCCAGGCTGTGGAAAGCTGGGCTTTTTAAGCTGGGCCCCTGACTTGGGAACCGTGTGCAGGTCTATTATGGGCCATCTGTTGACTGTCTCTGCGGGCCGGCCTCAGGGGCACAGCCCCGGAGGTTTCAAAATGGCATCCATGTTCCGCTGCTGCTGCCGCGGGGAGGAAGAGAAGGGGCGGGAAGGGGCGGCGGCCCAGCCGCCTGGGCTGCCTTGCGTTGGGCGCTTGCCTCTTCCTGTCTGCTGCGAGTGGAGTGCGGCAGCGGCAGTAGCAGCAGCAGCAGCAGCAGCAGCAGCAGCGAGTGGGTGTCGATGTAGCGGAATGCCCATCACTGCTGGACCCGGGGAGGTCACTTCCGGGACTGCCACCTCTCCATGCCCAGCTGGGAGCCTCCAGCCAGCCCTCCCAAGGCTAGGCACAGCTCTTGTGGCTGTGAACACAGGGAACTGGACCCCAGGGTTGGGAACCCAAAGTTCTTGTCCTGTTCCTTGCCCCCACCCCAAAGGGTTTGCTGATCCCAGCAGGCCTGTCCCCCTGGGAATCCAGGACAGCTTGTGGGCCAGGCCAGATGGGAGCGGAACACCCCTCCCCCGCCAGGCTGGCCGCAGCCAGGGTACAGTGTCTGGCTCAGCACTTTGTAGCCTGAGGAGTCTGTCCTAGTGTCCTGTGCCTGCGGCCTCTGCTGCCTCTGTGAAATGGGCTTCCTGGGTTTAGGCCAAAGGAGTGCCAGCTTGGGTTGGAGAGAACTGGAGTTGGTGGAGGACTAGCTGGGTGCAGGGGCTGGGGATGGCAGCTGCAGGACGCAGAGAAGTCAGGATCCGCCTGAACTTGAGGACCCAGTTACTTGTGTCCGCCTGGAAAGGGTCCTGGCCAGAGCTGTCTCTTCCCGTCCTGGTGGAGGTGGTTGTTGGGAGCCCAGCTGTGGCAGGTTCCGAGTTCCGGACACTCGGCTTATGTAGCGGGAGACTGTCCAGGCAACGGGCCTCGGGCTGGGTAATTGCCAGCCTTCTCCCTGCCAGAGCCACGCCTGCCGCCCCACCCTCACTCTGGCTCCCTCTCATCTCTGTTAGCCCTGCCAGGAGGCGGGCACAGTCGCTGTCACCCGGACTGAAGCAGACATAGTACACATTGGCAGGGGAGTTTTTCCTGGCAGCTGTGTGTGTGTGTGCGTGTGCGCGCACGCGCACAGAGGAACTGATACCACTCCTTCTCCAGGAATACCACCCCCCAACACACATTCTTACCCAGTTTAGCGGGACTGACCAGCAAGGCCCTGGCACACAAGGGGAAGGAAGCCAGAATTGCAGGGGCAGATTCCGGTTTAAGATGGGTGCCTGTGGACAGTGTAGAGATGCAGGACAGCAGTATCCTGCTGGGACCTGGCTTCTGTTGAGCTCTACTGCTTTCCTTGCCCAGAGGCAGGTGGAGTATCTCCCGGCTCCTGCCGGGGTGCCTCCCCGTCACAGCAGGGCTGTCTCCCTGGTGGCGGCCACATCAGGACTGTATCCATTTCATTCCTGTGCCCAGCACACAGTCTGGCACTTGTTGAGGGCTTCTGCTCTGTTTGTTGAACCAAGGGAAGTTAAACACCTGAATTTGGTGTGAGGACAGGCAGGTGAAAAAAGTGAGGTGACAGTCGCAGGACTGCCATGTGGCATACAGTGGCAGGTGGCAAGGGCTCAGTGTCAGTTTAGTCAACAGGTAGGGGGGACTCTGAGAGCAGAGCTCAGGGGCAGTTTCCTCCCAGCTCCACCACACGCCACATGGACCCTTCAGAATCAGTCCTGACACTACGGAACACATACTGCCCAGCCTGTAGCCTGGCACAGCAAGGATCTTGTGTTCTGCCTTCTGACTCAGGCTGCCCGCTAGCTGTTGCAGAGCTACCCACAGCTTGAGCTGGCTGGTTCCCGCTGGTGGGGCTGGGCCTGCCCTCAGCCTAGGGCATGGACCTCAGTGATGCTTCTGGACTATTGGGCCCGGCCAGCTGACTGCGCAGAAAGGGCCTGCCCAATCAAGCACCCGGAGGAGCTGTGTGTCTAGCACAGGGCTCCCCCTCCCCTGGTATTGGTGCAAAGGATGAAACTGTTGGATGTGCCCAGGGATGCTGGCTGTCTTGGGGGTGGGCTGACTCACAAGACGTCCTGGGAGTGTTTGCTGGCTTGGGGGAGGAGGGTTCTACATCAGCCCATACAGTTGAGCCCTAACCTGGGAAGAGGACTGCCTGCCTGCAGCCCTGGTCCTTGCAGAGAAAGTGCATCAAAGCATGGAAATGAGTGAGGCTCCTTCTGCCTGCTGCTGCAAGGAAGGGGTCCTCTTAGAGGCTGCCTGGCCCCGGGTGGGGTGGTGACCCTGGGTAACCCCTTTCCCAGAAAGTGGGGAGACACAGCATGCCCCAAGTGGGTGCCAGCTGGAGCAGCGGACTATCCTGGGATCTCAGGCCCAGCCTCTAGGGGCCTGGGTTGGGGGTGTGGCTGAGCTCTGGGTGCCAGGTGGGCTGGTACCCAGGCGGGCCTCCAGTCCTCTCCCCAGCTGGAGCTCATTAGCACTTGAATGGGGGGCGGGGCAGCTGGGGCCTCCCAGTCTCTTCTTCCCACCCCTCCCCCAGGCTTTGTCTTCAAGGAGCAGGGTGGGGACTTAACTCTCACGCTGGGGACCAACTGGAGGGGAAGAGGGGGTAGACCAGGCCGATTCTGACTCCTGCCTGGGCTCTGCCCTTGTCCAGCCATCTTGTGTCATTACTGCTGATGTGGGAAGTGGCACCTCTAGAATCAGAGACCTAGGGTCAGAGGTCTTCCAAGGGCCGGCCACCCCTGAGCTGGGAAGACCAGGTGGATTGGCAGCTATGAGGAGGAACTGATGCAGCAGGACCATCCCAGGCTGGCTGGGAGCAGGGAACCTCAGGAGATCAGAGGGCTGAGCAGGTGGGGGAAGGAGTGACCTTCACTGCAGTGCGCTGGGCTGGGCCTGGGGGCCAGAGGCTGGAAAACAGTGTCCAGCTACCCCCAATGTTTGAGTCAGAGCCCAGACTTTTCAATAGGGGCTGGGCCACCTGTCAGAGGTTGGCCCTGGGCTAGCCTGAGAAGCAGGTGACACTGGAGCCAGGCATGGTGGTGAGATGGCAGGGAAGGTCCTGGGACTCCAGGACTGGCCTGAGGCTGACATGAGCAAGCCCTATTGGTCCTGTCTGCTCAGCTCGTCATCCCATTCCCTGGCTGGCTCTTGGTTTCCTGAAAGGCCCCCATTCACCAGGCAGGAGTAGGGAGGAAAAATCGCATCTACCCCAGCTCTTAGCCACCGCGGGGGGCGGGGGGAGATTGAGAGGCTCTGCCCAGAGGCTGGCTGAGAGTGCCACCCACAGCCCTTGGCGCAGCCTCCTCCAGGTATCTTAGCCTGGAGAGCAAGGGCAGGGCTCAGCTGATGGACCAGGCCCAAGAGCACTGTGTAGAGTGCCCTGGACGGCACATTGGGCCTTCTGTGGTAACCTTGGTTCCGGAGACTACCCACTGCTGCAGGTGCAGGGTGGGGCTCCCCTCTGCTCCGCCCTGCCCAGTTCTTCCGGCCTGGAACTCTTCTCTCTGCCCCTCAAGCTCGTGGCTGCACCAAATGGTTCTGGTGGAATGCCCTGCTAGGGCTGGGGGGACCCTCGCTGGACTGGGCCCTGGTGCCAGCCTTATGAGTGCCCTTGCAGGCCAGGAAGGGAGTAGCAGGCCTGTCT